TATCTTTCAGACCAGTGACCAATTCGTCACCCGCTTCAATGTTGGTTTCCAGACGGCGATTGGACGTCATTTGGCTGCGCAGTTCACGTATGTTGGTGCCGAACTTCTCGTTTGCCTGCCTCGCCCTAAAACAGGAAAACTTGCCGTCAGGAAATACTACTGATTTGCCGAAACAGTTTAATCGAAGAAAATACTATTGTGAATTTAAAAATGCGATACTTATTTAAAGAAAAACAGTAGAAATCGGTAGGTTAGTGGACTGACTTTTCTATTTCAAGTTTTTCAAGGTGGCATTGCACCGCCTGTAGGAGCTCCTCCTGTCTGCGCAGAAGAACCTCAGCAAGCTTCTTGGTCGTTGCCGCCGAATTCTTATTAAATTCAGCCCACTTTTTACTAATGAAGGCCAGCATCTTTCGCAGCCCCGCAACGTCTACGGAGCTCGTTTGCGCTTCGTTGAGACCCTCCGTGTTATTCGCTGGTCGCTGTGCCTTCTGCGCTTGAGAACAAAGTCGATCGCCGTTTCGTAGACACCGGATAACAGACGATTGATGTCTACTCATGTGTCCGGCAAGACCCTAAAACCAAGCAAAAACAGCCATGATTGGAATAATAGAGGGACTAGGTCGAGAGAGGGAGTTTAAGTACACCGAAGTGAGCTTACTTCGTGTACGTTAAAGCAGTTTCGAGCGGTTTCTACTTGTTTCCGTATATGCAAGAAATTCGCTTTGATCGTCTCCTGCTCTGTCGTCTCCGCGGTAGGTGTGCTTTCGCCATTTTTCTGTACTTCCTCTACTGCCGTTAAATTTGCTGCCATCTTCTCCTCCACGGAGAGCATCCACGCCAGCAGGCGTTCCATGCGTTGTTGAAGGCTCTCCTGATCCTGATCGTCTGCCGATTCCTCTTCCTGCTCCGTTTCATCGTCGTAAAAGGTGATTTCGGAGCAGGTTGGGGAGGAACTGCGTGAAGAAGTTGTTGCCACAGTAACGGTAGCCCCAAACTCTCCTTCGGCAGATGCGTTAGCTTCCTGAAAAAAAGATACACACGCACAGGATATGATAG